GGGGGGGGAGAGGGTTGTCATGCTGGGGGAGACCCGTAGGAGTGATTGATTATGTTTCGCCGGAAGAGAAGCGACGAGGACGATGAAGAAAAGGACCTAGACCCAGCGAGAAAGAAGACAAACGTTTCGGTAGCATCGCGATGATAGAGACGAGGAGGTCGCGCCGCAAAACGAGGAGGACAACATACCCTGTGTCCCCCATATCTCATCCACCCACCACCCATCCTCCCCTGGCACTGGGTTTTTACGTTCTGGGGGTGGGACATACACCCAACTGTAACGCAGGAGACAGTCGACCGCCCCCCGGGCACTCAGGGATTCCACTCGAAGCCCCATATTCTCGGATTTTTCGGCGCTATACGGGATACAATGAGAAGTGGACGGAGGATATATAGATCTAGGGGAGCCAACATTGGGGTGAAAAATTGACGGATAAGGGGTAAAAAGACCGCTGCACTACTTGGAACTGTGTGAATTGCTCCTTGGACCGGTCAGCCCGTCAGTTTGATTATTTATTTTATCCGATAGCCAGAAAAAGTGACTGCCATCGCAAAAAGTCTATTTTCACACGTTCCCTCGTAAAATCTTCTCCTCCCGTCCTAGGCTGTAAAATTCACTCTCCATTTTCCAAACTAGTGCCTTCCAAAAAGTCTCTAGAGCAATTTTTCGTTACTCAGAAAAACAAGAACAAAATTTTTCGTGTCCTAACCTATAAAGTTCACTTTACAGTCTAGGCTGTAAAATCATTGAATACCACCAATTACTCATGCAGTGATTATGCGTTTCCCTTCACCCCTCGGGGTGTCCGCAAAACGTGATTTTACGTACGACGAAAAAGCACGAAAAATCGATGAATCCCCTGGACGCGTTACACTTACCCTCCCCCCATCAGGGGGGTCCACCACGGTTATGTGAGCAAGAATAATTTATCCGTGTTATTCACGGCTGCCTTGACGGTATACCGTGCCGCACAAGCAACTGCCACGTCTATTGTACCTCCAAGTATGGGGTCGCGGCATTTCCACAGGCTCATAACCATGCATGTGGAAACTAGAGAGCACCACTAATACATCAGGATCCGGCATTCCCCCGTGATCTCTTGATTTGCGAATTTCTCGTGTGCCCCCAACACTGTCGCACAAATATTTGCTCTAGTATGGGTTACCCCGGTAATTCGACATACTCCATGTTACTAATGTCTTCAAATTACAAACATGTCACGCAGCGATTAGATACTAGCTAATTAATGTTTCCACGGATGGAGGGAGCCATCGCAATTAATCGTAATATTACTACTGTGTAAAGTAGTAATGAATGAGTTAACTACTTATTCATTAAACAAAAATAACACAACGGCAATACAATTAAGTGGATGATTGATTTTTCAAACTTCTGGGTTATTTAATAGGTGGTAGGCGCAGTGAAAAGCGTGGAGCATCGTATTATTATACCCATGGTAAAACGCAATGAGTCGGCTGTCTGCGTTATGACTGTGCATATTGTGACGTGTTTTTATTTTTTTATTTTTTTTTTATTTCTTTGGCTTCTTTAGCTCCCCCTGTGTGATCGCCAGAAGTGGATGTACTTGGCCGAGTACTGCAAGACACTTTCTAGAGCACATGCACACATTCGCACGTGCGAAAGCCGCTGACGGTCAAGGTGATGATTGTAGAAAATATTTTACGGATTATTTTATCAGGGAAGTTGGACATCAGACCAGAAAGTGTCGTACTCATGCAGCAATCATGCAGCAGTCATGCAGCAATCGTGTGTCATTTGAGTTAAAATCATGAAAAGAAGTCGATCTTTCGTGGGTGTCATTGAAATGATTTTAAAAAATATCACTCACCCGATATCACGCAGAAAGCTGAGGAACTGGAGATAATTCCCATTCGAAGATGGATTTTGTAGGCGTGTTGATACGAACGCGTGTAGGAGTGACTCCCCTTTTACGTGGCACAGCATCCCATGAGTCCAGGGGGATAAACGCTGGGGTACGGTGTGAAAGAACGGGGGGGCCCTCTGGGTTTTCGTGGCTGGGGTTGGCCTCGTATTCCACCGAGGGTGGGGAAATGATGCCAGTGGTAAATGGTGGGGATAACCACTCGACAGGCAGCAAGGAGAACCTCCGTCGATGGGCTCGGTTGTCTGGAGGGAGCGCGCTAACCGGACCGGAGTTGTCAGACGAGTTTGTGCTGAGGTACTGTGTGCGGTGTGCTCCATCGGCTCTTCAACGTACCACATTTTGGGTTGAAATTTGCTCAGTGGGACGTCATTGTTCCAAAGTTCAACGCGAAGAAGTTGTGGTCAAAGCAATTGCAGCTGTAGAACACTCCAAACGTCAGAATATCGATAACTCAAAAGATTGATTTGGTGAAGACGAACATTGAGTGATCAAAGTTAATTGTGGAAATAGAGTATGTGCGCGAAACAGTGAAATAGAATTTTAAACGGTCTAAATGCATTGGTGATAGTACCTTCTGATCCGTTGAGAATAGTTGTTGGCACCTGCCACAGCGGTCTCGGGGCGCCACACTCACATGTTGCATGCGTGCCGGTTATCCATCATGGTCGCGGACACAGCGAGACTCTGATTGGTGCGCCGCGATCACGTGGTATGGTAATTGGTCTCCAGTGGGCGGGAACCGGCTGGTGTGTTCATGTGGTGGTTTGTAGCTACATGTAGGAGAAGTATCGTTGCTCTCGTCGCCACGAAGGATCCAGCGAAACTCTCATCGGTGGAATATTGGTGACGGTAGTGGATTTTGTGATTGCTTGTACAATTGTATTTACAATGAGATCCTTAATTGCATCGAGTGAATGATGAACTATGAAGTGCTATTGCCGTGACTCAAATTCTTTACGAGAATTGTGAACAGTCCCAGTGATTTCCGAGTAATCCATCAAGATGAGTTCATTCCTGATGAATCCAACCGCCGGTGGTTATCACCAGCAGCATCAACAGTCGAGTCACCATTTGCCAGCATCTCCAGTTGTGGTGGATCCGAAGTTTCCACCAACGGAGGAATACAGTCAGAGTAACTACATCTCGTCGACCAGTGATTTCTTCAGCAGCGGTCACCACCTGTCCCATCCGCAGTCGCATCAGCTGCAGTATGGATATCACCAGCATCATCATCAAGCAGCATCAACACCCTACGGCGCAGCTTCAGCTGTTCCCCTGAATGGTGGATACGCGAGCTACGGCAGCTACTACACTCCTCATCCTCACCACCAGATCCACCCGGTCCACCATCCCAGCCTCCATCCTCATCATCATGCAGTGGGTGCCCTGGCAATGCCTCCAGAGGCCCAGCAACCCCCCCTGACGTGCCCCCCATCCCTCCATAATCAGCAATCCCAGCAGCAGCCTCCAGCGACTGTCTTAGGATCAACCGCATTATCCCCAAATCTCTTAACTAGTCATGTACCCGACGCTCTGCAGCATCCCCAGCACTCTCAACCCCCTCAGCAACCCCAGGGCCAGTCCACACCGCATCTCGAGAGCAACGTCTGCAGTCCGACGGGGGCAAACTCTCTGCACCGAGATAACTCACCTGATCTCAATCAATCTAATCAGCACTCTGGCCACATGCAGAGTCAGCAGACGTCCGGGCAGCATCACGACGACGGCTCTGATCAGGACGACATGGACGATGACGCCATGGACGGATCACCCAACATGATGGACGACGAGGAAGAGGAGAATGAAAATGGCGAGCGCGTTGTTTACCCCTGGATGAAGAAAAATCACATCGCTGGTGTCGGTAAGTCCTCAAATCATATGATCAATTGATGATTGAATAATTCTTCATGATGGATAACTGCAGTGGTAGGACCTGAAGAAGTCCAAATGGGCGTGGAATTCTTCCCTTTGTCCTCATAACAAGATGCAAGGTGTGTGGCCATTTTCCGGATGAGCTTCCCATGCCGCAAATATTTACAATCTATCTGTTAACCACCTTACGACCGCATTTAATCATTCCCCAATGCTCTTCAAAATCTATTCTATTGTTGGAGTCATCATACACCTCACGCATCGAATACAACGATTTATGTGACACCGTTTATCTTTACGTTTTGTCCCGACGGAAGACTTATGAGGCGCAATTTATCCTGACAGCTCCCCTAGACCTACCTGTCCTCCGACTCTTGTGTGGTCGACAATTTTTTCCCGATTTAGTGGCGTTCACTTTCATTGTGACCTGTTTTTTATCTCTAACGCTGTCACTGTTTCTACAGTGTATCCACATTTTTATTATTTATTCATCACGCGATAGCAAAACGCGTTATACACCGCTGAGTGGAATATTTTTCCAACGATTTCCATAGAAATTCGTCTCACTCGCTCTCGTTAAATTGTCGAGACCCCCGGAGTTTTCTCTGATAAACCGTCAAAAGGAAAATTCTGCATCGTAACTCTCACCGAACGTGTAAACCTCACCTTCGGGCATTCGCAGTTTCTTTAATGACGAAGAATGACTACTCACTCCAACTTGCAACTGCTCCAAGTGGGACACAACAGCGATTTTACCATCGAAAAATCCATTTTTCACTTTTTGTCAAAGTCAGACAAAGAGGTTTAATCATACATTGTATATTTTTTTCAACAAAGCTCTTGCTGGGCTCTCCGAATTCAAAAAACCGAGAAACTGATCGCCTCACCGTGGTTTTGGCCAGAGAAGAGAATCATCGTAAGTAGAACGAAAAAAAAAACCAATTTCATGCCGGAAATCTCCAACTAGAAATTAGAGATAACCAATGGGGGAGCTGTGATTGAGGCTTGCGGTACGGGTTTTCGTGTTCAGACAATGGTATGGCCAGTCCGTCGGTCGCAATCCCTTCGAATGCCGAAGGGGGCAGAAGGGGGTCGGACAATGGTCAGCCTCAGGATGGAATGGAATGCGTCCGCACGGATTCTAAACTCTTCTCATTCTTCTTCCTTTGACTCTTGGACAACAAACACATCCATTTGTTTCAACCTCCAGACGTAATCTCTTCAAGTTTTTCAATGTCCAAATGACACAATTCACTGGACGAACTGATGCTTCATGACTAGGCCTGAGAAATAGAAAGGTATGGTTTTGTTGGTATAACTGTTGCTGGATATATCCCTGTGATTTTAGACTCATCCGTCTCATTCACTGGCTTTTATCCTGAAGCACACAAGGCACTTGGGCATTGTCCACACGTCTGTCACTGCTTCTTTTTCATTCTCTTGTTTTATTCCATTGATAAATGGCATTCATCTTGGCTAGCCTTGGAATCACTCGACTCGATGCCTTTTTTTTTTCACCGCGAATTAATAAACCCATCCTGTGTCTATTGTCGCTGATACCGTGTAAACTGCCATTGCACAAACATAACAAAAATCATTCTAATCAATATTCGAAAAGACATCATGAATATTTATAATACCTTTTTCCCGCCACGTGCAGCTAGAGAAACGACGCATAAAACCGATGTCAAGAATCTTTTCCACAAAGATTATTACGCGTGATTGAATAGGTCCTGTATGCATAAATCATAATACCAAACAGTGTCGCAATTATGCAGGTATAGATTTTTACGCGAATGGAATACTGCAATCACCGTGTGGTCATGAGTTCGAATTGACCGAATATCATTAACAACGTGATGGATTTTTTATATCAATCTGAAAATGATTGAGTGATGCTAGTCTAATGTTCCACCGGTTGTTGTTTTTGGTATTATTTTTTTTATTTATTGTCTTTATTATTTCGATACTACATAATGGTTGAGTGTCACTCTCGAGCGGTTTTGGAGTCCGGGGAGTCATTCCAGTGAGGCATTATCAGCTTCAATAACTCCAATTGAACTCGCGTCAATGACGCAACAATTCCCTTTCGGTGCCAGTCCCCCGCCAATCATGAGTAGTCCACCCAATGATGTTGATTCCCACCGTGAATGATCCCCTGAAGACGTTTATGTTTCTCTTTTTTTTTTTCCAGCGAATCCGTCGTATCAACCTGGTGTAGAGTCCAAACGACAGCGAACAGCGTACACGAGACAACAAATACTCGAGCTTGAGAAGGAGTTTTATACAAATCGATACTTGACGAGACGACGGCGAATCGAGATTGCACACATGCTGACCCTGTCCGAGCGTCAGATCAAGATTTGGTTTCAGAACAGACGGATGAAGTGGAAGAAGGACAACAAGATGCCAAACACGAAGAACGTCAGGCGGAAAAATACCAACGGACAGCCCCAGGCGAAGCCGAGCAAGGGCTCATCACGCACCAAGACTGGTAACAACAACAATCAGAAGAAGAACAACAATAATTCACCGTGTGAATTTAAACTTGAGAATGCTAGTCTCGATGGTAGCCTAGACATGAGTGATTTTCATGGTGTTAGCACAGCACTTCCGCATCCACACACCTCTCATCCCAACTTTCAAGGCCATCCGCACTCATTGACGCATCTTCAGGCACAGCTGAGTCATCTCCAGGTTAATGGCATGATGGACAGCACCAGTGGATCACTGGGACACATGAACTCGGGGAGCATCAGTCCTCTGGCTCCTGCTACAACACCACCTGGTATATCAGCTGCTGTTCCAACAGCAGCTATCAAATCAGACTATGATCTTACTGCTCTGTAACGTCAGCAGTCTCCATTGCCTGGAACGCTTAGCGACCTGACCAATTTCGTTGATGTCAACGATGTGGCACCGTCTTATCAGTGGCTCTGAGAGACCACCAATGGGACAAACCTTATTCCAGTGAATTTTCGTGATTAGTGCAACCAATCAATGCTCATTTTCATTATTAGGTAGTGAATCCTATTGATGGGACTGATGGATTTTCATACATTTTCTAAATGTGCCATGCCATCTTACTCCAGGCCAGTTTGACCCAATGCAAGTACCCGTGATTAGAGATTCAAAATTCTGTAGTTTATCATTATTTCCAGGGAAAAGTGGGGACTCCTTTGGCGCTGATGCTCGACATTCATTTTCTGATCATTTCCTCGCCATTAGTTTTTCGGACGCCATCACGTGTAAGAAATGGAGGGAAGACGCGGTTTTGATCGTGTGCTAATGTGAGAGAAGGTGAACAACAAATTTACTCCAGTTTCTGCGCAAATAGGCATGCAATTGTGCTAAATTATTGAGCAATAATACAATAACCTGAAAACATTGCGGTGAATTTTGAATTGTTGCGTCAAAGTAGTCAAAATGGCGGCTCTCCCGAAAATGTAAATACGTACTCTGTGGTAAGTTGTAAATATACAATTGAAAAATTCGTTTACGTCCGTGAGGAGTTAGTTGATAATAATAATCGTGTGATTAACGAAATTTCCTTCATTGATAAGACTTTGTGAAAGTTAATAATCCAGAGAGCGGTAATAAATTCCACCGAATGATCCCCTGAAATCGTTGAGTGTTAACCGCCTGATTACCAATTATTCATGTAAATATTGACAGTTGTACATACAATAGTCTAAGATAGTCATCTATTTTTATCAAATTGGAGAACAGTAACGACCAATAGCTTATCAGAACCGATACAATACGTGGAGCGATTATAAATCAAACGATCCTTGAATGCATTCGCTGTGACAACATACCAAAACAATACCATAGGTGTAATACAAACTAGAGTCTAAGCCGAAACATTAATAATAGAGTATAAACGTTGAATTTCTGATATGATTCTGTATAATTAGCGTCGATTAGTCTTGATGGCGTAGCACGAGTCGCTGATTCTAGGGGTTTTCGTGGTCGTTATGCGTCCGGAACATAAATACATTCACCATAATCCTGTACATAGAGAGTTGTAATATAAGTATATAATGATGGAATCGCGAGGACACGCGATAGTGCTTATGTTCATATGAAGATATTAAAGAAGTTTAAAGGTAAAAATCCAGAAATTGATGAAATACAATCTTAATGTGAATAAACGATTAAATAAATGTTTCGTAAATTTAAAATTACTATTGTGATTTTTTTCATTACCTTTTTGTCTGGGAAATTCGAAAAGAAAATTTAGTCTCCAGAAATCGTAGATCGACTCCTGGATGTGGGATGGAGTAGAAAAAATTATTTTTGTGTTTTTATTGGGTCTGAAGATTTTATTATTATCTAGAGGATAATTGTAGGTGGAATTGATTTTTAATTGATAAAAAAATTTCCTAAAAAATTGATTTTCCTCTCCCAAAAATGGCAGGTCAGGCCCTCGGGGCTAAGGTAAAATATTCTCTCAATTTCCACTTTTTCACAGGCTATCCCTTTTTCATTATCACGAATTCCGTATTTTAAATTCCCAATTTTCCATTTTCTATTTTATTCTCTCATTCAAAATGGCTCCACGACGTACTGGAGCGTCGAGGGTTTGAAAATCGATATTTCGTCATGACGTGAAAAAGGGGAAGTTTTATCGGAATCTATCCATGGCTAGGCCTTTTGAGGCGGTTGTAGGAGGGGTTGTAGAATGAGAGCGGTGAAATGTGTGGGCGAGAGCTAGCACAAAAGATCCAACAAAAAAGGTCTCAACGTTGGACGTCATGGTAGTTTTTCGAGGGGTTGCAGATGTGAATACGGGTAGTCATGAAAGCTACTGGCTTTTCTTGGCATATCATCGTGTACTCCAATTGCTGATTGCCACGAATGCCCCCCCCTTTCCTCCCCCTTTTATGCTGCATCATGCCCGATTTCTCCCGGAGATTTCCAGCCAGCTGGAGGTGGAAGGAAAAAAAAATGGGATATTTTTTCAAAAATAAAAGGGAGAGCCCGTGCAAAAGTAAAAATAAATGAGAGCTTGTGCTCTGGTTGGAGCTGCATGCGATGGAAAAATCGTGATACCCGCATGTGTGTGCACGACCTGCTTCTTTTTTTTTTATATTTCTTTTTTGCTGATTTTTTTTTTTGTTTGGGAAAGGGCCGCGCACGCGTCCATGTGGACTTTCGCACAGGGTGGCAACCCATAAGCGAATGGAAACGCCCGTGCGCACGTACCTCCGCCCATGTATATTGAGTTTCTTGATGTTGCATTACACGATGCCACCCTTATCACCGATATTTTGTCGATCAATTATTCGCGATTGGAGGAAATGTCGTTTCTCCTCGGTCTAATCGTCGATTCACCTGCGGGAATATGTAATAAAATTCACTGAATTATAAATTTTTATGATTTCCGAAATTCAATTGCCAAAAGTATTTTTGAGCGGGATCCAATGAAATTCACCATGACAGTAATCCTATAAAAATTACGGAATGTTATGAATGAAAAAAATTACGGAATGTGAAATCTAAATTTTGGGAAAAATCGCCATTTTTTTCTGAATATCCCGGGTAAAAAAAAATTGTAATCGGAATATTTTTTCCAAATTTTCAAAAAATTTCTGAAAACTTTTCAGAAAATTTGAATAGGAAAATTTTTTTTATCATTTTCCGTTTCAAAAAAAAAAAATTCTGAAAAGTTTTCCAGAAATTTTTTGAAAATTTGGAAAAAATAGTCCGATTACAATTTTTTTACCCGGGATTATACTAAATTAATTATTCAATTTCGATTGATCGGCCCAATGCTGGTTCAATGTCGGTTCAATATCGGTTCAGCGTCGGCCCATGGTCGGCTCACTCAATCCCCAAATTCAACTGAATATCTCAAATAATCTCAATTCATACCTAAAACCTGAAAATTATTGGATTGAAATATTTTCCAGTAAAAAAAATATCGAGTTTTCTATTTAATTTATAGAATAATTTTTTGAATATCATGCATAACCAGGCGGTAGCATATTGCCGATTTATAACTATAAATAACAATCTCATGTGATGGTAAATAATCGTAAAGAATATTCGACTTGTTTAGTGTGAGGTGAGGTCAATTGGTACCTTGTACACCAGAGACTAATGGTGCGCGTGCGTCTACCATTTTATTCCTCAAGTTCTCTCGAGTGTAATCATGTGGATCTACATGCCAGGACCATAGAGACGGGAAATGGGTGGTCGAGGGTATCGCTGGATATGGGCCTCAGAGAAGTCTTGCTTGGAACGTCAGGATTCTCTCGGACAAGAGACCAAGTTGCGCGTTCACCAGACGATAGCATCTATACGTCGTCCGGAGGTGCTTTATAATAATTCTCGATGTTTCAGGGTCTTCAGTGGGATGGCCATCCCATGTTCGATAGATAACCCAACGCTTTTTATTATTTTCTTCCAAAATTCTTCGACCCCTCGCTGACATTTCCGATTTCTCACCTAATCCCAGAATCCTCAATATCACGTTTTTCCCTAAATTTAATCTAGCATTAATTTAAATAAATATTTTCATTTTTCTATTTATGATAAATTTAACTACAATAAAAAAATCCGAATTATAAAAGCTCAAGGAATTTATTAATCATTTAAACGACAAATAATTACTGAATAATAATCCATAATTGATGGCTGATCAATTCTTGCTGGAATGGAAGAGATAAAAAAAAAGATTTTCCTGTTTTATCTTAATTGCATTCATTCGAATTCGTGACGTTCAATCATTCGAAAATAGTAATTACTCCGAATATTGAAAATAGTAACGGAATGGATATTTTGCCTGTCCCATTCTGGTGTTCGCCAAAAATAACCCGAAGACGGCGCCCGATGTTCAGCGGTCCCCATTCGATGTAATTGGAGGGGATTAACGAGTCATGACTCCATTTATCAGGTTTCGTAATTACGAGGCATCGGCTCAACCCGTGAATACATCAGCCGCACTCTGCGGATGTGCGCAAATAAATTCTTTCCCCCGGAGCCCTTTCCGTTCGCTACTGTTCAAGGGGTGACGAGCCTCTGAGTGATATTCCCTCGGGACAAGAGACAACTTTGCATCGCAAATAAACTTTAGCCTGTGAGTTTGAGATAAGGGGTTGTACCGAGTCCCTGTCATCGAGACCTAGTGGAAAGTGGAGTAGACGAAATTTGATATTTCATAAAAATTTTATGAAACAAAAAAAAAATGGGAAAACAAAACAATTTTATTTTTGGGAAAGGTTTTGAAAATTTTTTTTTTTATTTGAATAGGAATTTTTTTTTATAATTTAGATGACGTATTTTTGGAGAATATTGAAAAATGAAAAAAATAAGAAAATAACAGTGTAATTAAAAGAAAAAATTATAATGAAAAAATTTCGAGAAAAATATAGAAAAAGTTTTTCGAAAGAAATTTTTGAAAAATTATTCAAAATATTTCCAGAAAATACAATTGTTTTGTTTTCCAAAAATTTTTTGAAAATTTGGAAAAAATATTCTGATTACAATTTTTCTCAACCAGAAACAAATATTAATACAAAAAAATAATCAGCGAATTTTAAAAACAACAACAATTAATTATTATTAATTCTAACAATTTATTAATGAGTCTGTATAATAATTGCTTGTGGGAACGTCTAAATAATATTGCGAAAACCGTGAAATTGACATGACAATTCTTTAAAATAAATAAGACAGAGTGTGCACGCGAATAAAATAATTTTCTCCCCAGAAAAATAATCGCGACGTGGCATATCTCAGTGATTCGTCAGTTCCACCGATACCTGGTCACAGCGGAGTCTCAAATCAATTAATAACCCGTTACACGTGACTCGTCCGCATTCCTGGCAGCTGCATATCACCGTAACAACTTGCAGACGGTAGCTGGGTATCCGTCTGGGGCCTTGCATCCCCATATTGGAGACAGACTCGTCTCCTTAACGTGGGCGGTCCATCGCGACATCCCCGAAGGTTCATTAAGAGAGCAAACTCTGAGCAACCCGTGGTCCATGTATTTTTATCTCTCGTCCAGACCGGGAGTTGACAGTCTACCTCCGGGCTTGGCAGTAGCCACCACCAGTCTTGTTAGTCCTATCATACCTGTCGCGTGGACAGAGTCCAATTCCCAGAGTCCAATTCAGAGTGCATCAGCCAAAAATGTCAAAATATGGTGAACTGCACGAAGAGAAATTTCCATTAAAAAATTGCATGAGAAACGCTTTGAAAATTACCAGAATGCGCAGCGTGGGGCATTGCAATCTAACCTGAAATATTACCACCCGAATTGTTTCCGGATAAAAAGGTGATCAGGTCCTTAATCAGGTGATGGAAACCCTTCCAACTCAATAAAAAAACATCCAGAATGGTTTGGTGGACCTGAACTAGACATTTACCGAAAATTTTACTGGATGAACGAAAAAAAAAAAATATGGATTAAATATCACTCACTCGTCGCGTCAACAGCGACAGCAGGGGGAAGAGAGGGTTTAAGGAATTTCAAGGACAACAGAGTTTACCTCAGGACTATTTATCGATGTATTTGCCTCCTTATTGTTTCTCTCTGTTTCTCTTTTATGCAAGGAAATTCACATTTCAATGATTTTTGTTTTTTGGTGCACCTAAACCACACATTTACCAAATTCCCCAGTTCCGTCACTGAAAACGTAATGAAGACTTCCGGTAAAAATTACTGGGAGTGCTGTGAAAAATGAATGACTGATACGAAAAAAAAAAATGACCTGTCCATTATTAAATGGACTTTAGATAATCCAATTACATCGGCATGTGCTACTCTGACAACGGCGTATGTCCACATATTGAGCAATAACGCAATTGACCAAAATACAGGGCATAACAGATGTGACTGTCATATCTCTCGATATCCCACCGCGTCTTGATATTTGGATCCTCGTCCACACCGAGAGCATCAAGAGCTTGAAGCCTGCCCCTGTGCATTTCGCATTGCCCGCGACGCGTGAAGGTTTTAGCTCTCTTGCAAGCCGCACACCGTTCATTAATCTTGATCGGATCAGTCGAGATAGCGGCGAGCTGTTTCGGAAACCCTCTCACCCCTTCTCATCAGCCTCGCCTAGGGTCTGGCCCT